GCTCCCTATATAGAAGCAACAAAGAGACACAGCCAAATAATACTTCACTGTCATCTAAAATTTACTTGAAGGTGTGCTGCCTGGATATAGAAGCTCTGTTCTAGGGCAGGGGTCTCCAAACTTGGAACATTTAAACTTGTGGGCTTCAACGCCCAGAATTCCTTTGCCAACCATGCTTAAGTCTTAAAGTTGCCACCTTTGAAGATCCCTATTCTAGAGGACAGACAAATTTTTCACAAGTAAGTCGTCTCTCCTAAATTAAGGGTTTTCAGCATAAACTACATGTCAACTCTGAAATGAATTGGGCGTCTCCTAGCCATTTTCTCCATTTCTCACCTTGACACACTTTGCGGGCAAGGAGGGAGCTTTGGAATGTCAGATCAGACATCAAGAACTTACTATCTCATGGGAACCAAGGTCATCCTAACAGGTGCTGGTCAGAGACTGGAAGAGGTTACAAGGAGACGCCAGAACACCTAATTGGACAACATGACCTGTGACAAGGAGGGAGGGAGCTGTCTAATCTTTAATTATACTGAAAGCGTGGGAAATAGCCAGAGCTGGTTTGTTTTTCAACTATGTCGAAATGATGGACTCAATAAAGCAGTTCTTTGAGAAAGCTAAAAGTCTCAAGAGTTGCTGAATTGGTTGGGTTCATTACTCGGAACTTTGACATTATGAGGAAAACATCAAGCATCTCAAGCAAATGAATTGTGCTTAAAACAACCACAAAGGAAAGACTCTGGAAAGGGAACAAGCCTTTCCCTTGACTTCAGCCCAGTGATGGCAAATCTTTTAGACCCCAAGTGCCCAAACTGCACTTGGCCAAACTGAAAGGTGTACACATGGACATGCACAAACATGTGAACATGCATGCACACATTGCATAGCAGAGACCCAAAGACTAGCGGGAGGCAGGCATCTCAACACCAGCAGCGCATCAAGAGGTAAGATCTTTTTCTTTCATGAGCTTCTGTTTCATTGTTTGCAGAGAAACAGAAGCTCCCAAAAGAAACGCCATGGAGATTTGGCAGAGAGGACTCTGCGTGCCACCTCTGGCATGCTTGCCATAGGTTCGCCATCATGGCTCTAGCTTCTCAACATGCATGTGGAATATAATGGGCAACTGAGCTTTTTTTAAAAAATAATAATAAAATACAGCATGTCTCCCAGCAACATGCTCTGTGTCTTTCCAAAATCCGGCTAATCTCAAAACCAAATGATGCTCCCAGCATACCCTTCAGCCGAAGATAGGCTGTCCAGTGAGATTGTCAAACTGCCATTCTTTGATCCTCGGTAACTTTTGGCAGAAGTAGCTTGGGAGGCTGAATCTTCTGTCCCCTATACAGATAAAGTCACTCAGTTATTTTAACATTCTGGTCAATTACACACACAAACACACACACACATCTGTTCTTGCCAACTAATTCATACTTTATGTTAAATCATTTGGCTGATTTGGGCTAAGAATGTTATATAAAACCAGCCATTGTGGCTTGGAAACCATGGTGAATGTATTGAGTTGTGTGAAATCTGCCAATTGGGATGTATTTAATAAAGCAAAGTTAAGAAAATAATGGTTTTACTCCTATAAGTGAATGCAGCTAGTATATTAGTGCTTTATGTCATTTCTGAAAAATACTCAATTATAAGTCAATGCCTATGTACAGTATCAGATATTCTGATTCCCCTGTCAATTTATGCATTTCCAAGTGTCAACCCTGAAGTTGAACTGCAACAAGGAATAGGGAGGGAGATTAGAGATAGTTGAGGTAGTCAAAATAAAATACTGTATCTTGGAAACCAAGGACGTTCTCAAACATGGCTGGAGGAAGGAGGAGTGATGTCACCAGACCAGCAGATATTGCTTTGATTGGGCCATGTGACTGATTGGGGTTGAGGGAAAGGCGTTTACTTTTAATTAGTTGAAAATCATGGGACCCCTCACAGTTGGTTTTCACCAGATATGTGCCAATATGATATTTCCAATAAAGGTATTCTTTGAGGAATCTACCTATCTCCGAGTTCTTGTTTGCAATGGACCTATTACTTGGAACCCTGACACCAAGATGATCCCTGGGCTTCCATACTTACTTTTTGTTTAATTGCAGCCATGACATCCCGCAGGTCATGTGATGGTACATTTTGTTTCAAATACCCATCAAATTTTGAGTGACACATAAGCATGTTCAGCATCTTCCGGCCATAACATCTAATGGAGGAAAGGGAAATCTTTTTACGATCACCGCAAAACAAAATTCCATCTTCATTGAGGAAATGGGATTTGCTGCTATTACCTTGTGTCTTGATGGCAATCCTGAGCCATCTTCACTAATGTCTGTACTAACAACTCTGTACTCTCCCGGTTCCCCGAAAGCAGTTTCTCAGCCCCAATTTGTTCCATGACTGTCAGTAAATGTCCAGCAGCACATTTTCGAATGAGAGGGTTTCTGTGGCTGCAACAAAATGATCATCATTGTCAGACAAAGGCCATGTTTTTTTGTCTCCATGCCAAAGTAGAAACCTGCCAAAGTGTAGGCTGATAGCAACAATTCTTCTAGCTCACCTTCATTTATCCTACAGTGTGTGCTTTTCTTAAGAGTATGAATGGGAAAACACTCTCCTGTGCAAAGGAGTCACAATCTACCATGATGAGCAAATACAATTTCCAGCTTAATTTACAGGGTTGCTTCTGTTTTTCTCTGCCATTCTATTTCATGGACAAACAGTTTAAGGAATAAGCGTAGGTCCAAAGAGCTACAATGCTAAGCCAAATTTCTGGTTTCCACTTGTAGATTCATACAAAAGAAGTCAACCATTCTCTGACAGGGATAGGGAAAATTCCGCACCCTAGGTGCTGCTAAACTATATCACTCTGTGCCTCCCTCTATTATGTCCATTATTGTGTTCAATAGTGAAGAATGCTGGGAGCTTAGTCAGCTACCTCTGAAGGGTTATACATTTTCCAAAATTACTCTAATAATTCAGTGGTATGGAATTCTCCTACAACAATTTTCTTTTTTGTAAATGCTAGCACTTACTGCTCATGCCTATAGACCAGCAAGATTGCAGTTGAGAAGACAATGTACATACGTCACTCCATTGGCCATGAGGGCTGTCATTGCTCGCGAAGGAGTCACACTCTGTGCCATGATCCCCAAGGACTGGTCAGCTGCTTTCTGGATGAAATCACTAGTATCACCTGCCTTCTGAAGCAGGACTCGAGAAATCTCCTCAACCTCTTGATCCATGTGCTTCTTCATAGCTCTGAACAATTCCGCAAGTGTCCCAATAGCAAACCTTGATACTTTAGATCGTAAGTTGCTAACCTGATAAAAGAAAGTGATATGATCTAATATACTTTTGCAAATCGTAAAGAACAACAGCCAGAGAATCAATACAGGGCCATTTTCTTATCCAAATAAAGTCTCCAAAATTCAGCAATATGCAAAATCCCTTAGATGTCTAAGGGATTAGATGTCTAAAACTAGTATTTCTTATTTAATTTAATTATTAAATTTTTATCTCTTATTACTTTACAGCAAAAAATACATAGTCATTTTTTCTCCTATTTCCCTCATAACAACAACTCTATGAGGTGAATTGGGGTGAGAAAGAGTGACTAAGCCAAGGTCACTTAGCTGGGTTTCACACATAAAACAAGACTAGAACTCACAATCTCCTAGTTTCTAGGCCAGCACCATAAACATTACACCAGACTGGCTCTTATTTTTCTTATACTATTTCTGCATATTACTTCTATATACAGACATTTATTATACATTTTTTTACAATATATTTTCCAAATTCCATGAGAACTTGCACCAAGGGATTATATGTACTTGCTCAAAAAGTATTATATGCTCCCAGGTCTACAGTATTTCTTGATGGAAGAAATATAAAACCTTTATTGCCATATTCCATGTGACAGCCAAATATTGCCTTGTCTTTATCTTGACTAACACTTTTTAAACTCCAGAACAAAGTTTTAAGTTTATTATAATTTTAGAGAAAAATGGGAGACCAAAATTATGCCAATGGTTTCCCAATATTTGCTGAGAGAAGAAGCATAATGGCCTTTGAAAACTCTGCTGATAGCAGCCTATCAGCTGTTCAAACAATGAACAAGTGTGGAGTTGGCTTGTGACTTTGCTTAGCTCTTGCTTTTTATTAGAAGGATTTAAAGTGAGAGCAATAAAACCTCTCCGTTAAGCGGTCAAATATAGCAAACAGAAAGTCGATGGTAAGCAGCTCCAGGAAATTAACTCCCAGGAATGCAAGAACTAGCCAGCTCCCAACATCCAATATGAGTTTTATAAGCAGGCCAAACAGTATTTAGGTCTGGGAAAATGGAAAATGCAAGTACGGGATTGGTCATGCTACCATCCCATAGTAAGATCTAAGAGGAAACTCAAGTTTTTAATGACTTTCTGAATACCATCAGGGTGGGAGCCATATGGATCTCTGGGGAAATGCTATTCAAAAAGCAGCTGCTGAGATAGAAAAGGCATCTTCCTAGGTCCTGAGAGATGGCATTGTTTAAACAAATTCATTAGCGTCTTAATACTAAGCCATAATAAATGAGTTCATATATCACTCTAAGCATGAGCTTCTACCAGGGTGACAGGCAAACAATATAACTTGCATCACAACATTGCTTTGCAGACTATATTATTTAAATATTCCTGGCAATATCTGGATGTAAATATGAAAACCCAGGCTTTACATCATGATGGCCCGAGACATATCATATTCATATCACTGTAGCATACTATGATTCCAAGAAAAAAAAAAACCAAATACATTCCATTATCCTTCATCATTGTGCACAAGCCATGTTTATGAAGGAATGGTTTAATGGTAACCATGTATAACTTTCAATGGCAAGGCATTTGACAAGGCAAAGAATTTTCTACTACTTTTGATCAAACTTTAGTTTTGATATGCAATAGGTTAGTTATCAATAGGTTAGAATTTAACTACACAACATGACATCAATATACAGTGTATGTAAGAATAGGTATATTTAATGCATACAAATTTATGAGTCTACACATTTGGTTGTATATCCATCGTATATTGCTCCTCAATTTCACATAAGCAGAAGAGTCCCTTTTCCTAATTATTGTTTTATATCCTTCATAATCAACATGAATGACCCAGACATCCAGATTTTTATATTTTATTCATTATTTATTTTGGTATCTTCAAGTCAGTGTTGACTACTGGCAACTGTTTGGACAAATACCCCGCACTTATCTTGGCAACATTTTCAGAAGGGGTTTGCCTTTGCATCCTTCCTAAGGTTGATAGAAAGCAGGGACGTGCAGTCACGGGAGGCAGGGAAGGCAGGGCCTCACCAGTGTCATCATGAAAAAGAAAAACAAATTTAAAAGGAAAATGGCTGAAGTAGTTGCTGTCAGAGTCACAGTGGATGACTCTGCTTAGTGCTTAACTGCAGGAGAAGGCGAGAGAACCACGTGCCTCCTTTAATCTATATTTATGATCACTTGAGCAGAGTTAAGCAAGGGTTAAAAGGTGAAAAATTCCTTTTGCAAAGGAGACACGTGGTTCTCTCGC